ATCCACCTATTATCTATACCGTTCTTCCTGTTCAGGGTCACAGAGCGGCTTGAGTCGATCCCAGCTGTCATTGGGCGAGAGGCGGGGTTACACCCTGGACTGTTCTCCAGCCAATCACAGGGCTGACATAGAGAGACAGACAACCAGCCACATTCACACCTATAGGTAATTTAGAGTCAGCAGTTAACCTAACGAGCATGTCTTTGGACTGTGGGAGGAAGCCGGAGAACCCGGAGAGAACCCACACATGCACGGGGAGAACATGCAAACTCCACACAGAGAGGCTCCTGTCAGACGGGATTCAAACCAGGAACAGCGCTGACCACTGAACCACCATGCAGCTCTCATTAAAGCCCTAAAACATGCTTAAAAAAGGGTCCAGGTTTGGAACCTTTTTGTCCATGACACATAAAATCACATAAAACAAAACACAGGATATAATATTCTTGTGACAAATGAGTCCCGCCCCTCAGCTGCACAGAGGGACAGACTTGGGCTGCACTGGTTCTGCTGGTTTGTTCCCAGTATGAAAAAAGGAACTCAGTAATAAAAATAAATCCTGTCAATTCATTAGAATCATAACTGCTGATCTGCTCCTCACAGAGGGGTGCAGCGATGTCCTCAGTTATGTCACCAGGGCGATCATTTGTTGTAGTTTGTTAAACTGAAGGACGACCCCCCACCTGTCCTCTGAGCGGGGGGTGGGGATCGAGTCATTCAAGCTGTGGACAGTGAAAGTTTTGACATTTAAAGCCTTTAACTAATCACGCCGTCTGCGTTTTATCCCCTTCTCTCCGACTTCACAGTGAGAGAGGAGATAATTTGAGCGCTCCGTCTGTTTGATGTACGGTAATCACATGTGATCTTTTCAACAGGGAGCCGGCCGTCTCGTTAATTTGACCGTCGGTGCGCGGCCGGACCCCCCCCCCACCCATCGCCCTCCCCCCCAATCAGGCCAATGCCTGAAGAGTAATTGCGGAGCCACCATGCTTCGATGCGCTCGACCTTTACGACCTCAAAAGCCATTTCCATTTTTGTGACCACAAAAAAAGAACATATCTTGTTAATTGCAAAAAGGCAAATATTCTCTCCCTCCTCCGCTCACCCCTCTCCTTCCTCACTATTTGATTTCCCTTTGAAGGCAAAGCGCTGAAAAGCATTTCCATTTTCATTCATCAACGCTTATCAGTCATCTGAAGGCCCCTTCAGCCACAATCAACATCACGGCTCCAACCGAGAGGGACGCCACAATGAGAAAGCAGCAACAATCGTACAAAGCAATTTGCTTTAATGTGGAGTGTGTTTTGTTGCCGCTAACTGCAATTTTTTTTAATCCTCTCATACGTCCTGAAAGACAGAAGGAGGTGTCACAGCGCAGCGCGGTGTTAAATACACGACGCAGAGGAGAGAGATGGGTACCACGCCAGGACGACTGCCAGTGAACCTCTGAGCCGGGCTTTAGATTTAGATCTTCTGTAGATCAGCCTCATATGACCCTCAGTTAAATAAGGAGGAAATGTTTGATCAATATAAAGACACAGACTGTTTTATCACCTCTATCAGGTTTAGTGTCTCTGATCTAAATTACCTGAGAGCAGAGGCGCTGCTTGTCAACAGGTAAGGCAGCCAACTGCTGAACTCTGAATCCCCAGACCAGTAGGGGCCCCCTAAGAGATCACAAACTCATCAAAAGTAGGGAGGTTTTCCTAAGTAGGAAACCTCCCTAAGGCCCCCCCCTGACAGCACTCCCTCTCGTTGCCATGCTGAGTGTTGCAGCTATTACTGTGAAAACCAAAGTGTGTCAATAAAATTCAACAAAGAAAAACAAAGAGGAATGGTCCGTCTTTAGGAGAGAATAAGACACAGAAAAAAATTGGAGGAGGAGTAATCTTCTGCTGGCAGACATGATGGGAATGAACGCTTGTTGGCGGGCCCCCGCCTCCGAATTGATATTTGCCTGGGGCCCCAGCAGGCTCTCAAATGGCCAGAAAACCACCTGGACCCACGCCTCAATTAGAAACAAACACAGGTGATTTTGAAACTTATTTTAGAAGTCAAACCGTAATAAACTCGTCTTTCTACACAGGGAGAACAACATGTCCGATTCCAACCAAGGCTGAACGACTGTAGATATTTGTCATTCAGCAGCACACATGGACCAGCTGGTTGTGACCCTTTTTGATTGAGGGTCATATTTTCTAAAAAAAAAAGTCAACAAGCTACCTGTGAGCAGGCTGAGCGGCACAGACCATCATATTCTCCCCCACACTCTGAAAGTTGATCTTAAAAAAAGTCCAAAAGGTAAAAAACAAAGGAAAGCACTGACAGTGGAAAATCGGACATACAACATAGACTGACATTTAACAACTTACATCGGGAAAATGCAACAACTAACATGGGGAGACTCTGACAAACACAATGAACTGACAAGAGGGAAGGAACACTGAGACTAAAGAGACGAGGGTAATCAGACACAGGTGAAGACAATGAGGGATCAGGACTGGACGGAAACACACAGAGGAAGAAAGAAACACAAGACAAGAAACACTGAGGACAAGAACTACAAAATATATCAAGAAACACTGAGATACACAGAGAACTCAAGAATGTAACATAACCACTGGAACAAAGAAACACAAGGATAAGAAATTACAAGTGTGAAACATTCAGCTGTTCACACATGCACCTCCTCCTGCAAATATCAGGAGCTTTTCAGGAGTTCTCTGCAGGTGTGAAAGACCAACAGTATGATTCTGCAAACACAAACATATCTTTTCATTTTGTTTTATTTTCAGATTTGAGATTTGACTTTTGTTCTTCTTCCTGCTCTTCATATTTCCACCTTCCGCACTTCCCACAAGCTTCAGGGACGTCAACATTTTCATGTTCGATTTGTTCGGCAGTGAAAAGAGAACTTTTTGTCACCGAAGTTCAGCTCTGAAGGATGCTATCAAGGCCGCTGTCTACATTCAGACACACATTGATTTACTGTGTGGAGGAGAGAGAGACATACAGCTCTTAGAATTCAGCCCAGGTAAACAACACATCCCCGCTAGTCCTCCTTCTCCTAGTCATCATCGTCCTCCTCCTCCTCCTTCTCCCCGTCCTCCTCATCATCATCCTGCCATCTACTCCCTGTCACCAGCAGCTATCTCCCGTCTCTCCAGCTGACCTCTTTCTGATGAGGAGAATATTATTTAACAGTCTGTAATATCCACAGAGTGTGTGTTTATCAGCCGATCCAATCACCGTCTTCAGCTTCCAATTGTTCCTCCTCCCGTCATCACCCAAACTGTCCGTCTGTGCGTGTAAACAGAGGTCTGATTAAGGGCAAAAATGAAGCTTTTGGAAGATCAAAAACAACATTAATGATGCTTTTGTTTTGATTGGGGTCCTGACACGTGTCTGTTGTTTTAGAGAAACTCTAAATGCCAGCTCTGATTGTTATGTTTTCCCGCCCACGGTTCAGGGAATGTGTAGAAACCTTGAAATGACTCTCACTGACCTGCCAAATTTAGGTAAAAATATACACACTACGCCAAGTTAATAATAACTTGGAGGTAATTCAAACTCTAATAAGTCGTCCTCACCGGCAAGCGGAGCGGCCGCGGCAGATTAAGTTCCACATCAGTGTTCAGTACGCTCAGCCTGGGACAAAAACAGGGTCGTGTTTTGCATTTGAGTAAGGATTCAGGACAGCAGAAACAATAACAGCTTTGGGTGAAATACAATCAATGACGGTTTGTTTTGGTAAAAGATCTCGAGTAGAAAGATGAATAAATCAGCACAGAAACAATGGGCCTCATTCACTAGTAAATGTGTAGAAATGTTCTTACTCTGCGCATAAAATAAGTGCATACGCAAAATCACCGCCGGATTCATGACACGTGCCTACCAGCCAATTTTGTTCTCACCAACTTACATTATATTATTAGATATTATTAGATATTACTTATATATATTATATATTTATACAGCCTATATATATTTTTTTTACTGAATGTATTTTTAATATGTCATGCATTTAGTTAGGAGTGTATATTAACATTTTCTGAGAGAGCCGGTCAATCATTTGTGCGTACGCATTGTCTGGGGAAGTTCTATTTTTGTTTGTTTTGTTCGAGTAAGAATAAATTCAAGTAAGAATACAGTATATTGATGAATCCCAGATTTGTGCTTCAAACGTTCGTACGCACAGTTTAAGTACATATTTGTGCGTTCGCACTGTTAGTGAATGAGGCCCAATGATTGGAACATATTTCTCTTTGATGGCAGAACAGTAAAATGACAGTTTGCACGTTAGAGAGGCTAACTCTGTTCATGTGGCAATGCATCGAGGTCAGTCATGGCTGTTTGGCCAGACATCCATCCATCCATTTTCTTCCTCTTATCCGAGGTCGGGTCGCAGTGGCAGCAGGCGCAGTAAGTCATCCCAGCAGACTTCCCTCTCCACAACAACATTCCCAGGCCAAATGGGATATATAATCTCTGCAGGGCAGTGGTTCTCAACTGGTGGGTCGGGACCCAAAAGTGGGTCGTGGAGTTATTTTCAGTTGGTCGCGAATGTGTGCTTGGGAAAAGAAAGTCTAAAAATCACATAAAACACATTTTTGTTGTGGGTCATATCTTTGTTCTGTGATGTTTTGTACATTCTGAGGCACCATGTTTCATAAAATAAATCTTTTGGTTGAAAATTATCCAAAATTTGGGTCCCCATTTCCTATTAAGGAGTTTGTGGTGGGTCCTGAGTCCAGACCGGTTGAGGACCATTGCTCTAGCGTATTTTGGGCCTGCCTCCTCCCAGTTGGGCGTTCCCGGAAAACATCTGTTTGGCCAGACAACGTTTGTTATTAAAGCCCTCTGCATACTCTGACGCTTGCTTGCATCTTGTTCTGTTGGGACAGCCTGTCTAAGGTTTGCCTGAGTCTTTGTCTGAATACAGAAAAAGAGGAGAAAGAATTTGAATACAACACCGTACAAAAAAAGGTTTCGAGTCTTCGTTTTGTTTTCAATAAATTAAGTTTATTTGTCAACAGTTGGGTTTACATTGTAGTTTGCAGGAACCATGCAATCAAGCTCTTTATGGCCAATACTAATAGTAAAGATGTTCCACGTCACAGGTCACATATAGAGTTAAATAAACACAAACAACAAGCATTCCTCGCTCTGCACATATATACACAAGCTCACCTCCAACCTTTGCTTGAAACACTTGATTCCTGTCTCGTTGTTTTTGTTGTTGCATGTTTTCATCACTAACTGGGAGAGCAGTGGCTTTAATTAACAAAAAAAGGTAGAAGTAGTAACAGTAGAGCAAGGCACACATTTATATTTTAGAGATCTCAAACCCTATTTAGTCCTACACACACCCACACACCTGTCTCAACACCAGACCCAAACCCAGCGTTGCTGCTAATCCTCCTGTCAGGAGTCGTCTAGGAAATAAAAAAAGAAACATTACGTGGTACAGTCGTGGTGTACAGACATACATCAGAATCAATAACAACACACGTCCCCGTCAACAGTCATCAAACTTCAAGGTCTACACAACAACACCACTTCAGCTTTTGCCAACTTTGGTTGTGTTGCATAGATAAAATATCATGTTGTCATTTTAGAATCTTGTATTTTTGGACACCTGATTCAACCCTTTGCAGATACTGCTGACAGCACAGAGGGGAATGCTTTAATAGTGTGGTAAGGTTTTAGTCCAGAAGGTAATCCGGTAGACCTAGATTAGTCCTGATGGCTGAGAATATTTAAATCAATTTGGAGCTCAGTGGCTTCCATAGCAGCAAGTATATCCCGTAATCGATCAACAAACCTCCAAGTTTATCAGTTTCGGAGTCAACCAGGGCCTCAAAATTATGTTTGTGCCCTGTCTTCAGGAGATGACACAGTATGAATGGCCATAGGCTTGAAGGATAAACAAGCCATTCAAACCCTTGCACTATCACCATGTCAAGCTTTCTAGATGAATTTGGGTAATTCTCTTTAACAAACAAGTTGGAAACTGTCAAGGGTACCACCAAGAAGTTGAATATATATCAACTGTGGTGACTAACCCCTAAATTCCACCAGATGCGTGTTCGGTCCGAGGCTTCTATTTCTGCAGGATGCCAGAGAGCAGCGCATCAATTTACCACACAGCAGATTGAGCGGGATGGGAAGTCAGACACAGAAATAACATTAAAACATCCGGTTTACTTTCAGAATGAAACACTCCGTTCTGACGCTTTAGAACAATGACCTTATGTGTGTTTGTTTTAAATGGTTTTATACCACATACATCGTATTATCTTGCGCTGTCGTGAGTGAATCTGTTAAATTACAGCGGGAACTTCTTTGTCTTGTCTCCAGCTGCTTACTGAGAACGCAGCCCGTGGGTGTTGACGGAGGGTGCATGGAGCCGTGACGGACCGGAGCGGACACAATGCACATGTATCTGGTGGAAGTTCTGGGTTAGAGTGCTTGACTGTATTCCCCTGCCCATGAGGTGGTCAACAGAGGATTCCTGACGGCATAACCATCGCTGTCTGCCTCCAGTTATAACTTAGAATCACTACTTCTTCCCTCTGACATAATGTAATACCCATGTAGTAATTGTTAAACTCAGGGTCTTAAAGTTTGAAAATGTAGATTTGTTCCATCACAGTGTTCAATCCAAACTGGACAGACAAAGAGTGCTTGACCCTTCTCTGCCCAGAACAACGTCGGGTCCACAATGGCTTCAATGATTGCATCTTTACCTCGTCTTCTCCTTGAGATAAAACTAAGGGTTCATTAAATTAGTCTTCTTCAACCTGGAAGATTGGAAACTTGGAGTGTACCACCAGAAGTTGCACTTGACAAAGGAATAGTTCTCAACAGTTCTTACTAAGAGTGCTTGACCACTGCCTTTTCCCCCATTTGAGATGGTCTTCAACGAGCCTAATCACTATTTCCTCTCTTTATCAAAAGGGTACATTCGAGAAGTCACTTTGCCACCAAATTGGTAAACACCCACGATGCCAGCTTGACCAATCCAGAGTGGTAGCAGAAAGTCCTTGACTACATTTTTAATAGTCTTTAGATTGGGGCAAAATCGTTGATCTGACTTCAGGGCACGATATCTGAAATGGGCCAGCAGAGGTGGGGAACAACTTGAACCTGCCCGTCCCTTAATTAGATAGTCCATAGGTTATGACCACTTCCTGCCTCTACACAAGACTGGACATTCAGACAGTCCTTGACCACAGGAGTTGGAAACTTGTGCGCTTACCACCAAAAATGGTCAAAATAAAACCAAACGCCTCAATTAGACTGAAGAATTTCTGTCACTTAAAAAAGCGGGAAAAAAAAGATCTCAGTTTACTTTATTGAGTCTGAACCAGGCTGCACCTCTTTCTCACTTTTTGGTAGATCTTTTGGAGCCGTTGACCCAACTTTGAAGGCTTTAGAAATATGGGGAACAGCTTGTGGTACGACCCCAATGAAGGACTGCGAGGGGGTTCAACATTA